GGCTACATTGATTAAGAGCACTTTCTCCAACCTCCCCACTTATTTCCTATCTCTTTTTCCCATCCCAAACAAAATTGTAAATAGGTTGGAACAGCTCCAAAGGAACTTCTTATGGAGGGGTTGGGAGGATGAAAAGAAGATTCACATTGTAAAGTGGGAGCAAGTGTGCCTTCCTAAGGATGTTGGCGGGGTAGGAATTAGGAAGTTGAAAGAATTTAATTCTACTCTTCTCAGTAAATGGTTATGGAGATTTGCTTCCGAGAGGAATGCATGGTAGAGAAGTCTTATTGCGGCAAAGTATGGAGTGGTATGGGGTGATTGGAGAACTCTGGATCCTCATCCAATTGGGGGGAAATCTATTTGGGCAGGCATCTCAAAGTACATCCATCTCTTCTTGAATGGGATCAGATTTAAGGTTGGCAAGGGGGACAAAATCAAGTTTTGGAAGGATCCCTGGTGACTCCACCAGGGCATCTCAAAGACTTTTCAGTTGCTGATAACATAAGCATTTCTGGTGACTCCACCATTTGGACTCCTTTGTGTAGGAGAAATTTGTTGGATTGGGAAGTGGAAGAGTATGCGGTGCTGTTGGGGCTCCTTCAAAATCAGAGGATTGACTTGAGTTTAGAAGATGAAAGGTCTTGGAAGTGGAATGCAGATGGCAGCTTCTCAGTTAAATCCCTATTTCTTAAGGTGTGCAGTTTAGGTCAGGAGAACATCCCTGCTAGGCAGATTTGGAACCCAACTAGTTCCTCCGAGATTAGTTTCCTGGTCTGGACAATGGCCCTTGATAAATGTTTGACTAGGATTAAACTGGAGAGATGGGGTATTCAGATTCTGGATCTCTCCTGTGTTTTGTGTGGAAACCTTGCAGAATCTACAGAGCACTTGTGTATCCATTGTCCGGTTCCCTTTTCAATATGGGGACATTTTTTCAAGATTTTGGAGATTAGCTGGTCTATGCCAAGATCTGTGAAGGAGCTGCTAATGTGTTGGAGAGTTGAGGGTCCTCAGTAAGAAAGGAAAGCTTGTTTGGAATACCATTCCGCAAGCTGTGCTTTGGTCCATTTGGACTGAAAGAAATAACAGAATCTTCTGTGGTCAATTCAAAAGCCCAGAACAAGTAGTGCAGAAAGTAGTGGGCAAGATTTGTTCCTGGGTGTTGGTGAATGAGGATTTAAAAACCAGAATGTATATCTTTTGTTTTGCACTAAATCATGGATGACTTTGTAATCTGTTTTGGGCCCAGGCAGAATTAGTGGTTTGGGCCTTGTTGTAATTTTCTCTTTATTCTGAATAAATTACTTTACCTTTTTCCAAAAAAAAAAAGAAATTTTCATTAAGCATGAAGTAGAAATGTTGACCAAGTCTAAAGTAAAATAAACTCTTCCTGAAGGATAAGGAGCTAATCCAACCCCCCCAACACACACACACACAAAGTGGACACTCTCAATTCTCAGACTTATCAACTTGAGATTTTACCACTGCACCAAGCAATGTCAAGAAAATAAAGGACTAAGCATATCCAAACAAAAGGGAAAACACATAAACCAAAAAGGAAAAAAAAATATTACAATGAAAAACTAATAGACAGCAAGAGGAAAATAAACTAAGATCTGTAGACCAAGTCCAAGAACTGTATCATATGCATACAACATTCTTTCATATCAATGAATAAAACTGCACTGTACCAATACAAAAACTGTAGACCAAGTCCAAAGAAAACCAAAATTCTTTTTTTTTATATTCAACAGCAAAAGAAATTTTATTAGGTTAACAAAGCTATCTAGTTATGCCTTCTTTGTTTATTAAAACTAAGCAAAGCTATGTGACTATATTCTTCCTAAAAGACCAATCAATTAAGAAGTATCTTAATTTATCTAACCAGTTGAAAAAGATGAAGCATCTAGACAATGATAGATTTCTTAGAGAGATATATGGTGGGTTTTGGAAAAGAAAGGAATTCAAAATAGGTATGAGGACCTAGTCAAGGATATATATGAGAGTGCAACAACAACCAATGTTAGAACACTTGTGGAGGAGACATTAGAATTTACAGTTATGGACCAAGGCTCAGCACTTAGTTCTTATTCATTTGCACTAGTTATAAATGAATTGACTAAACACACTCAGGAGGATGTCCCGTGGTGCTTGTTTGCTAATTACATTGTTTTAAGATGAAACAAAGAATTAAATGCAAAATTAAATTTATGGACAAATACCTTAAAAACAAGAGCTTTTAAAACAAGCAGAGCCAAAACAAAATATATGCTATAGGATTGCAAATCAGGGTACACTTAGGATTGGAGACCAAGAGAATATGTAACCTTTTCCATTACCTTGGTTCGACAATTCATAACAAGGAAAAGATCGAGGAGGATGTCACTCATAGAATTAGAGCAAGATGAGCATAATGGAGGGATGCATCCAGAGTCTTATGTGATAAGTGAATACCACTCAGGTTAAAAGGAAAATTCCATAAAACAGTAGTAAAACCAGTAGTGTTATATGAAGCAAAGTATCGGGCAGTTAAGAAGCATGGCCAAAAAATGATTGTGGCAGAAATGTGTATGCTGAGATGAACAAGTGGAAAAACTAGAGAGGATAGGATTAGAAATGAAGTTATTAGAAGGAACCTAGGAGTAGCTCCAATAGGTGGTAAAATGAAAGCAAGTAAACTAAGATAGTTTGGTCATGTGCACAGAAGACCATCTACAGCACCTGTAAGAAGAAGCAATTTATTGCAAGTTGAAGGGACTAGAAGGGCTAGGGGCAGACCAAAAAGGACATGGATTGAAGTAGCAAGAAATGATTTAAGCACTCATACTTTAACAATGGGTATGGCACCAAATAGAATGGAAAAACAAAACAGAATTCATGATGATTATGATGATGGAAAAGCAAATGAACTTGGTTAATTTGTTGCTTCATGCACAAGTATCCCAGAATCAATAGGATAACTTCCCCAAGGTCAGGATCCAAAAGAGGCAATGAGAATCCACCTCGTTCTTCAGATCTAGCAGTGCCAATTGCTAAATTCCATATCCATCAGTTCATCAACTTCCATATAATTTCTCTTGCTTCCTTCCATTAATTCCAATAACCAAAACCTCCAACAACAACTTTTTTTTAAGAAAAGGCAAATTTTATTTATATTACAGAATTATAAATGGGAGTGACTCCTTCCTCAAAAAAAATGAATGGGAGTGACTCCCAATACAAGGAGTGATGTGTTCACAAAAAGTATACTAGTTAACAAGAATAATAACTTCTTTGATAAATACAAGAATAATAACTTGGCTTTCTATTACAGGGCATCTTTGCCTAAAATAACTAACTTCTAAATGAAGGGGCCATTACTTGGTTTGATGGTATATTTTCAGGCTAGAATTCAGGCTGGAAAGCATGAGGAAACAAGTTAGAGTCTGAGAGTAGCCATTTTGTGTATGTGTGGTCTTTTAACTAAATTCTACCATGAGTTGCACAACGTGTTCAAGTGATGGTCCCAGCTATCCAGGGTCTTGAGAGGGGCAGACTACTGGATATGAACCTAACCTTTGGCTTTTTTCTTCAAAAAGTGACCAATCTCGGGCCCAAACCTGTTTTCTCATTGCACCAAGAAATGACCTCTACAACCTTCGACAAGTCAATATTAATAAAACCCTGTCATCTATCAGAAAAAACCCTGGAAAAGTTTTCTGACAAACGCATTTTATTTACAACTGTAACCAATACATCAACTACCTTTGCTTTGTCAGAAAATTCAGAATAGGCATTTGGTTCACGTATACTACTTTTCTTTTTCATTTTTTTGGTGCTAAATGAAATGGCCACTGGTTCACAAAGTGGCCAGTCAATATTTGCTTCTATTTGCTAGATGAAATGTGTTAATCTACCCAAGAATCTCATCAATCTTGTCAACATATAAACTTGTGGAAATTTGGCTAAACAGGTGGAGTTTGTTGCATGACCCACCCACTATCTGTCACACAGATAAAGAAAAAGAACATTGCTACATTGCACACTTAATGTACGATAAGTAAAGGAACCCTTCAGGCTTCAACCTGGAGTAAATGATTGAGAAAACTACGCTAGGCATCAAAAGAAAAATTGACATGTGCTCATGTCACATGGACTCTCTTAAATGGATTAAGTGTCCATGCTGGATGCCCATGAATGGCTAATTACACATGTCATTTTTCCTATAAAACAACCTCGTGTTTTCATCCTTTCAAAACAGGCTCCTGGACATGGACACATGTCAGATTCTGATTCTTGTGTCCACGTCCATGCAACACTGTAGTGCTATGATATTGGAAGATTAACAATGCTTTGCAAAATTCGATGACATATGGAGCTTAAACAGGCAACCATTTTATTAGCAATCCCACTCCCTAGCCCTCCCAGGAAGGATGCATATCAGTAAATGATAAATGTTAGCACCAGAAAAGCTTTGCCACCCGACACTGTAATAGCTTAGGCCATTTAAAAATCAGATCCCGTCTAAAACATCTAAACATGTGTCCTGAATGTTGAGTGCTTGTTAATGAAGGGCGATATTCGGCATGCTATTGCTTGAGAAGGGAAGAATTCTTGCAAACTTTTCAGAGATTATCAACAGAGTCACATACATTCTCGATATATGCTATGTTGTGCAAAAACAGATTCCTGTAAAGTGAAACAGGGACGCCTAATTTCATCGCCAAATAACTTATCAGCTGGCAGGTGTAAGGGATTTCTACTTTCTACCTCCCCTTTGCTTCTTAGCTACATATATTCTGTAACTGTAAGTACTCAAATGTTAAAAACTAAACTTCATGGAGAGACAAAATTAACTCAAACAAAAAGAAACGTCGACACTCCTATCATCGGAACACCGAAATTAAACCCTAATTGCATTCGAACTAGAAATTTATCATAAATGCGATGAAAAAAAATAAGGAACGCAGACCCATAATTATTTGAATCCATGTAATCAGGATCGATAGGTAGATAGTTACCTATTTCTGATACCCTCCGCCCCTCGTATTGTCATCCTCTTCAACCTTCGCGGTCAGATAAACCGGAGGGAAATCAGAAACATCGAAAGTTTTCTCCTTCATCATCTTCTCGACGTCGGCCTTCTTCAGGATGGTCCGCCGGATGGGCGGGCGATTGCGTCGTTGATCGCGAGTGTAATACTTGATGTCGTAGACGGTCTCGGGGTTGGAGGTGGGAACGCAAGCCTTGGCGTGGGCAGTGGCGGGACAGAAGACACGGTACTCCAGAGCGCTCGGGAGTGCGCTCTTGTATTCGGGATCGGCACACGGGCCTGTGATCTCCCATGGCTTCTTGATGAATCGTTTCAAGGATTGGAACATAGATTTTACCCCAGACGATGATGAAGATGCAGCCATGGCGGATTGATACTATTGCTCGATCGGGAGCAGACAGAGCCTATAATGAAAGAGAAATCATGTATGCAGATGCATGACGGGCCGGGGATCTTATGTCGCAGTCGGACCAGACCACTGTTACAACCCGGTCCGTGCACGGACAGTGGTCTGGGCCCATGAAAGGCCGTGCCCGGGGCCATGTTTATAGATCTGCAGTACGTTGGGCCTGTACTTTTTCGTATTTTTTAACCTATTATGCGAGCCGGGTCGGACCCGGGCCTAGCCTAAACCTATTGTTACGAAGGTAAAACTCGACTCGGCCATGATCACCCCTACCGTTGATACTCGGAAATGCACAACACAGATTTTCATGGAGCAATCCGGCGGCACCTTCACTGAATAGAACCTTGAGTTACTTGAGTTACAGAGGTAGATCCTTGAGAGGTCTGGTCTCGATGAAGACACTTACCTCCCAACCGTTGTTCTTCGTGTCCCTCCCAACCCATCAATGGCGGAGGCTGTGATGTTTGGAGCCCTCATGTTCTTTTGAAGGATTTTCTAAGTTGTTGCATCTTGACAACTACCGAGTACCGACGTTCCTTGGTGGCTCTACTTGGACCAACTGTAGAAGAGTAATTAGTCAATTGTCATAAAGCTTAAGATTACTTTTAACATAATACATAAACAGTAAGGGTAGAATTAGTTAGTTAATTAAATTATAAGGTTAGTTTAAGAAATTTGCCCTTATATACACACTAGTGGATTTTATTTTTTATTTTTATTTTTTTTACCACTTCATGGGGCTACACAACAAGGGGTAGCCCATCTTCTTTCCCTTAACCCCTGGTGGCAGCGGGATTTGATCCCAGGTCTCTACTCTGACAAGTTAGAGAACCTACCAACTGAGCCACCATCGGTTGGCCACTAGTCAATTTGATTAACCACCAGTTTTTTATTTCAGGTTAACCAAAAACCAACCCAATATCACCAAAATTTGCAAAAAACCAAACCAACCTGTTTTAACCAGCTTTTTTTCCCAATTTGATTGGTCAAATTTTAGATTTTTGTTGAACACCCTAATTGACAATAAGGCACCTAACCATGAAAAAAAAAGACTAGTATGGAGATATTTTCAATGCATGATTGTAAAAGGTTGTAAGAATGGTACGAACATGGTCTTTTGAACGCTAAATCTAAAGTTTGAATCACCTGCCAACAAAATATGTTCCAACACCCTACCAGCATTATCCGACACTACACAACTTATACATGGTGGATCCCACTTTATGGTGGGCCTCAGTTCTATAACGAGATGTATAGTATCGGATCAAGTTGGTAGAGTGTTGGAACTTGTTTTGTTGACAGGTGATCCCAACCCCCAAATAAGATGTCCCTAATTATACATCAAAAACATCTCCTTTGGAGTTCAAATCTGTCTCTCACAATACATCTCCACAGTATATTGTGAACATCTCCCGATGATGACATCATCACTTATGGTATGATGTGATGTGGAACGTTGTGGGGGCAGATTTGCTCTCTCTCATTTGCCGTACAGTCAGCATGTATGTACGCTTTCTATTGGCAGCAGATCTGTGTTCTTGTGTAGAAGTATCATATTTAAGAGAAACTAATGGGCCTTTTATTTCAAGCATATAACTGCAATAGAAGTCAAAAGATTAGTTTAGTTCTTTTAATATAACTAGGTCAGAAGAGCTTAGTCAGAATAAAAGACATGATCATGTCTTGTGTATCAGCTGCAACGTTGGATTAGTTATTGACTAATGGACGGGCTAAAATTCAAAGTCAATTATATGGTATCGTGGGCTTAAATTTAATAATGTAAATCAAATTCAATACAGTCCAGGGTCTCCAGGCCCAAAATGTGTTTCAACATGGGTGTACTGGATCCATGGACCATGGCGGCATGGTTCAAGTATCAATATGTGTATCCTGGCTGTCAATGGATCGGGTATCATAAAATGGACCCGAACGGATTGGGTGGGTTTGGTTCCGAAATAGGAAGGACAATAGGATATTAGGATATTTATTGATGATCGGTTGTGGTTCTTAACCTATTGTCTCAATTATTATCAGGACTTATTTGATTCAATGCTGAATCTATTCAGATTCGATTCTGGGTCTAAAAATTATATACCTATAGGGTGTAATTTAGTTTCGGGTTATTGTCTTATCAGGGTTGGTTCCGATTTATATACAGTCTCGACCCATATCCGACCCGTTGACAGTCTTACCAGAATCGGTTTTCAGGATGACCGAAAAACCATGGTCGGACCAATGACGCTTTACGCATGATGAGTAAAAACCCATTTTGAGGACCAAAATAGGATACAGGGTATTCAACAAAATGGACGGTCTAGATCAATTATACACGAGATAATCATAATAGATATATGAGAAACTCTAGATCAGATCAATCGTGCACCATAGAAAAAATGTTCCAATAAGTGGGGTCCATTATTTTTATTTAAGCTACTAATTTGGCAGTATGGAATGTGGACGCCAAGGTAGTTGATTAAGCGCGGGATACAGTTTACGCGAAATACATATTGTATCAAATCGACGAAAATGCCCTCAACAAATCGGAGAAAGCCGTGAGAGTGAGTCTGCCCTTTTAATGATCTGAATTGATGAAATTTCCTACCTCCATCGTGCGCTAACTGTTGGGCTTCTCTCTCACTCTCTCCTCTCGCTTTCTGTGCTCTCTGGTAAAAAGTACAAACGCGCGCGCATCTTCCACCTCGCTCGCTCTTCATCTCTCCTGTTTCTCTCCGTTGGAGCGTCGAATCGCGCCAATAAGAGGTATTTTCTGTTTACTATTTATTAATTTTTTCTGATGTCTGTCTTTTATTACTGAATAGTTGTAGTGCATCTGCATCGATTGTCAGACCTTTTTTTTTGTTCCTTGTTTTTTCAGGGTTTTCAGCTAGTTATTAAATTTAAATTTTAATTATGTATTTTTTGTTCTAGGTTATTACTATCTTACTAACGATGATGGGCATTCAATTCTGAAGTCCAGTTATATTCTTATATTAGCGGATGCTTTTTCTTTATATTTTCTTTATCTATTTTTGTGGTTTGCGGTTGATTAGTGAAGGAGTGGGGTTTTGTTTGTTGGTTTGTTTCAGTGTAATTTGTTGTTATTCAATTGTTGTTTTGGTCGGATGGTTTGAGTTCTTTCAGTTTTTTACGTGTTTAGTTTTGTTTAGATCTAGCTGGGTTTCTCTATCTCATCGGTTCTTCTGCGGGGATCGTGTAGATGATCTATCGGGTTAGGATTTTTGGGTCATTCTGTGGATCGTCCTGTCTCATTAATAGTAGAGTTTTTATTTAAGTGATTGGGTTTGCCTTCCCTCCTCTATCTAATTTTTAGGGTTTTTTTAAAGATGTTTCAGTTTGCTACTTTACTTATAGTTTCTATAGTTCCATGAATATTTGAGATCTACTATCGGTTTGGTTTTTCTCCTGTTTATTATTCCTTACCTGTTCCTATCTTCCCAATTAAATTTAATTATGCCATCCTTTAATCATCATTAATAGGTGCAGTTTGAGTTCATTATTTGATCATCGGTAACGGGTCCTGTTATCAGTGCTGAATATATTTGCGGTGGACTTTTTCTTTATATTTACAAAGATAGCATTTATCGGTGGCATGATTTGGTCAAAGGATTTTTCTGGCTTTAGTTTCATATTGTTTTCATTGAGAAAGTTGAATATTTATCGGGCTTCTCTCCTTTTAATTCTTGATTTCTTCAGGTTTTCTTGCCTTTTCAACTAAGATATATTATGATGCACTTGAGGTCTGGTTTACTTAGTCGTTTGGGTTTCTTATATTGCACTACAATGAAAGGCGCAAATGCTATTTATTGCATTTTAATGTTCAGTCATTTGTTTTTAACACTTCTCCAAATTGGGAGGTATTACTTACTGATTCCTTTATCTTTTAGAAGTACCTATTGTTTTCCTATTTTTGTGCTTGAATCATCATGAGGTTTGTCATGTTTTAGTTCTCTTGAGAATTGAGATTTCCTACTTGCCATGCCAAATGGTTTGGTGGAACAGTGCTTGGAAGCTTGTTTTTTCAATTTATATGTTGGTACTTGATTTAATTGTTGTTTTTTATTTGATGTCCTTCCTATATCTATTTATTATTGCTGTTCCTTTTGGTAGGTGGGTGTTGGTAATCTTCCTTTGGTTCTCAATTACTAAATGTTTTTCTGGTTCCTTTACTCTAATGTATTTGGGTAATGACTGGGACCCCCTGTACTTTGGTGGGTTTGGCACTTAGCCTCCTTTACTATTTCATTGCAATACTTAACCACTTTCATATAATGATAAACCCATGACGGTGTTAATGATGAATGGGAAACTACATAATTGTCCATACATCATTTTTATGTTTTTAAGGAAAAATTGATATCGTGTGGCATTTGATGTTGGTTAATTTGCTACATATATTGGATGGCCTAGACTATTTGAATTTAGTACAACATTTGGATGGTTGAGATTAAAGCAATGATCTTAAGAGGTCACTTTGATGGCTCAGATCTTTGGGTTAATTTGGTAAACCATTTACATGGTTTGTATTTTTTAAAATCTGGGTAATTTGGTACACCATTTACTAGATTACTTGAAACCCTTGTACATCACTTGGATTTTCAAGATTGGTTGATTGATCCTTAGGCATAAGTTCAATAGTCTATATTTTTAGTAAGAAAATTATGACTAGAGATATCTCTTTAGTAATATTAAATGGGTATAAATGTGTAAAGACCAAGATTGTCTTCTAATGTAAAATGGGGGCTATTAGCCGAAAAATAAAAAGTAAAACAAGGGCATTTTAGGATTTTAAAAATATCTGAGAGCACACATTGTGTACAAATTGGTCTAAACTGTTAATCCTCTCATTGAATGGTGATGGAAGGGATTATTTGTTGCAAATTTGCAATATGAAGTACAAGGGGCTAAGTGTCACAAAAAACAGGTAAACACAGCTAAGTCTGAAGACCCCAAAGAACAGGGGGGGTCCCTGTAATTTAACAATTTTTTTGTTAGGAATTATTCTTGACACAGTATTTTGACTATTCTATAGAGATGGCAACCCAGACAGCAAGTCCCGCCCATGCTCCCAGTGCTCAAGTGGTTGGAAATGCTTTTGTGGAGCAGTATTATCACATACTTCATCAGTCCCCAGAATTGGTTTATCGATTTTATCATGATTCTAGCATGCTAAGCAGGCCAGAACCCAATGGTGCAATGTCGTCGGTGACAACCATGCAGGTAATTTTTTTTCCTCTGTATTTTGAAAAGATGTTATCTTGCACCTTGATATTTCTATGATTCGTTGAGGCCCATAGATTCCTACTTTAACCAGTTATGCTTAGATATTTTCTAAAACAATAGAGGACATATAAAAAAGGGAAAAACTATTTCTGGTTAAATATTTTAACAACTATGTTTTGATAGCCACCAAAAACAAAAGGATTAAACAGAATTGAATGACAAAACAGGATTTATGTAGCCAATCCCTTGTAGTTTGGGGATAAGGCTTGGAGGATGAAAAAGACCAATAAAAAAAAGAATAGTTTATTAACAAAGTCAGATCCACACTTATTTTTTTCTACCTTGGCTCTATCAAACATGCATATAATTTAAGTTGTAAGTGATAACTGCAGTTCTGGATTTGAAGATAAATGCATGCCAAGATGTGTTGGCATGTTGGGCCTTGGAATTATAGTGTTAACTGACCATTTAATCCAACTACTAAACCAAAACACCTGACACACCAAAATCAAAAAACACGGGACTGTTGAGACTAATGGTTAATATTAAGTGAAGGAATATAAGTTTATAGGTTGAGGTTTTATCAACTATTGCATTTTGTTTCTGTTTTTATGTCACTTTTTTTTGGGTTTTTCTGTTATTAATGTCAGTCTTTTGTCTTCCTCCTTTCATTTAACCAAGTATTAGTGTCTGAAAGATGAAAAATTTTAGCGTACATGACCTTTACCTTTGTTAATGTGTTATCAAAAKCTTGAATCAATTATGATTTTGGCAATGGTTCAATGGAATAAACTTGCAATTTGTCTTGGAATAGGCCATCAATGAAAAGATCCTTTCCTTGGATTACAAGGACTATAAGGCAGAGATACAGACTGCAGATGCACAGGACTCTTATGAGAATGGTGTTATTGTCCTAGTAACTGGATGTCTTACTGGAAAAGATAACGTGAGAAGGAAATTCACTCAATCATTCTTTCTAGCTCCACAAGACAAAGGTTACTATGTTCTGAACGATGTTTTCAGATATGTTGATGAAAATGAAGCACAAGTCATCAATCCCGTGTCTGTTAATGGTGTTGGTGCAAGTGCTTCAGCAGATTCCCTGACCTCAGATCCAGGTTCTATTTATTGCTTTTTGTACTTTTCTTTTTTTTTTACATATTTTTGGATCCATTTTAACTTTATTCTTATCTTTGTTTGCAGAACCAGCTCATGTTCCTGATCATCCTGCACTGGACCAAGCAACTTCTCTCCCAGAGGAGGATCTGAATGATGGCGAGGAGGTATGTGATCCATCAGACAATGAGGAAGGGTCAGTTATTGAAGAAGAGGTTGTTGTTGAGCCCCCAGATCATTCGAGTCAGAGTGAAGTCCATCCAGCCCCTGAATCAGCTTCTTCTACTGTCCCAGAGGATGCTCCTAAGAAATCATATGCATCAATTGTAAGTTCTTTGCAATAAATTGTCTGTTCTACGGTATTGAATTGAACGTTGAACTGTCCCTCTGAATTTCTCACATGTCGAAACTTTGTTACAGGTGAAAGTAATGAAAGGGAGTACAACACCTACAGCAGTTTATGTACCTTCCAATGCTGTAAGGACAGCATCAGCAAACACAGATCAACAGTCATATGGGTCTGCAGCACCTGCTTCAGTTTCTGAAACATCAGTTCCTAGTAGCTACACAGCTCCTGAAAGTAGTAGTACTGCTCCTGAGGAAGGTAGGTAAATCTGTTGCTTTGTCTTGATGTTGCATAACCTCAGTTTTTATATAATCATTTTGCTTATAACATGTGATAATTTTTACTACAACAGACTAATCTTTCCTTTCTTTTGTTGCAAGGACGCTCCATTTTCTGCAATTTACTGTCTTAGGCACCATTTTAAGATATGTTGTGTTGTATACTTTCTACACTTGTTTCTATTGTTCAAGAGTATTAATTTATCATGCCATCTTTTTTACAGTTATTTGTTATTATGTAACTATTCCTTATCAGTACCTCGTACTTTAGGGGTTGTTCCGAACTTCAAAACGTGTCTCTGCAGTACCTGAACTTTCAAAATGTGTCTAATAGGTCCTTGCCGTCAACAGTATGTTAATGGATAAATGAAATGCCAGAAATACCCATCAGGTGTCATCTAATTTTCTTTATCTGCCACTTCCACATAAACCAATTCAAGAACAGAGCAGCTTGAATTGGTAGAGCTTCAGATGCTGTGACTGTGGTGGAGAATTGTCACGTTTGTTAATGTTGAGGTCCACGCCTTTGGAGAATAAAAACCAGAGCCTTGAAACTGGTGAGGGGGATAAAGGGTAATAAACAGAAATAAGGGAGAGGAAAGCTGGGCTGTTGTCAATTGGTGACCGTTGGTGAGGCCCGCGAAGGAAGAATTGAACAAGGCACTGCCTTGACAAAAGTAAGGAGAGGCGCCATGATAAGGTGTTGCTCTTTTTCATGAATTTATGGGAGGTGAACCAGATTGAATGGTTTTCTTTTCTGCCCAAATATCTTTGACATTTTAATTGATGTTACGGTTTGCTAAGTTGGTTAGGGGTGATGGGTACCTGCTGAAATCCGAAGGTGGTGATGATCTGCCAGAATCTGACTGACAAGGTTGGACTTTTCCAATCTTCCTGGGTTCTAATTGGATTTCTCTAGTTCGAAATAGGGGTGGATTTGAGCTGAGCCGAATAGTATGAGGCTCGAGCTCGGTTCGAGCTAGAACATTGAGCTTGAGCTTGGCTCGAGTCAAAAACTCATCGAGCTCGATTTGAGAAAAAAGGTTTTATAAAAAAAATATTTTTTATTTGATATTTAAAAATTAAGAATTATAATACTTTTATTATATATATCATTTTCTATAATTTTATTATATATATACATATATTCGAGCTCGGCTCGTGGCCACCCCTAGTTCAAACACAATTTCAGAGTTGCCCATTTGAATAAGAGGTGGTTTAATCTGGGTATGCAGCAATATCAGGAAGCTTTTGGGCAGAACTTAGGTGCCATGGTAGAATCAACTGAACCATCCAAATGCCTATGGGGAGAACATTATGACACCCATGAGCTACAAAGTTACTCTATAATTTAGAAATCAGAACTGTAGAGTGTAAGCCAGTTACAAGCGTTAGAGCATACCCAGAAGCTGGAAAATCAAGAAAATCAGAGAAATACAGAAAAAGAAAAGAAAAATCAAGAAAAGGAGAAGTTGGAACATATCCAGAAGCTCAAGCAAAACAAAATTCCTGATGCTTTGATGAACTTGCATGTCAAAATTATTTCTTTGATGATGATCCGTTTCTTTTTCCTTACGTAAAGAAGCATATGCGTCAGTTATTTCTTTTCAGCCGTCGCCGGAACTTGGTCAGTTCCCGGCACCGTCGTAGCAATGACGTGGCTGTTCAGCATCAAGGTGTAAGGCAATGAACAGTGCCTCTCAAGGTAGAAGACAATGAACAGTGTCTTCTATTAAGAGTAGTTTTGACATTTTTAGAACTTTTAAGTAGCACATGTCATCATGTGATACAGATAACTGATGGACTTTTAACGGCAAGGACCTATTAGACACATTTTGAAAGTTCAGGTACTGCAGAGACACGTTTTAATGTCCGGGGACTGACTTGACACAACTCTTAAAGTACAGGGTACTGATCAGGAATTTTCCCTTTATTTTATATACTGGAAATGAGTTATGAGGTTGCAAAGGATATAATTGGATTAAGAGAACCTAGGGTAGCTACAGTATGTGACAAAATGAGGCTAAATAGGTTGTAATATATGAACTGAAAACCACCCACTGCATCCATAAGAAAGTGTTGCCTGATTTAGGGTGAGGGTTCCAAAATAGGTGTAAAAATCAAGAAGACATCAGGCAAAATACCAGGGAAAGATCTGTTGACTTGTAATTTGACAGAACATGACCCTTGATATGATGGTGAAACATGATTTATGTTGCTGTCCCCTAATGCTTGAGAAAGTCTCTTCTTTCTCTGTGTGTAGTGTTCTTTGCAATAAATGAGCTATCATTGAGCATTAATATTCTGATATCGCATGTATACATGCTTATGATAAAAAATACATGCATAATACATAAATGAGCTGTCATTGAGCATTAATAAATTCTGTTATCACATGCTATGATAAAAAATACATGCATAGATATGTATATATGTATGTTGCATAATCTGCTCATATTTCCATGCATAACAAGCTTTACCGTCTCAAGGCAGGTTTTGTGTGGAGGTAAGAAAAAGAAAAGAAAAGAAAAATAATCTGATGATGTATAATGCTCTCTCATAGTAGTACAACAATCCTATAGTTGTCAGATAATATGTTTGTGTTCATTTTTTCATCTATGCTTTTCTGATAATTGTGTTGCATTTCCTATAGTTGAGGGTCACTCGATTTATATTCGGAATCTGCCTTTGAATGCAACGGTTGCACAACTGGAGGAGGAGTTCAAGAAATTTGGGCATATTAAGCCTAATGGTATCCAAGTCAGAAGTAATAAGGTTTGTTCCAAATATAGTCATGCATGTGGGTGTGGGTGTGGATGTCTGATGGATATGCTTTAATCAACAACATCTGCAACATGCTCAAAAAAAAAGTAGCAAAATATATATGATTTTTGAGCTAATTCTTTTTTTTTTCATTTCTGTATCTCTTCAGGGCCAGGGGTTCTGTTTTGGTTTTGTTGAATTTGAATTGTTGAGTTCCATGCAGAGTGCAATTGAGGTATATGCTCTGTGCTTTCTCATTTTTTAAGCTAAAGAGGATGTATCTGTGGTTGCTTTTAGAATATGTCCAATTAAGTGGACTTTTGAAGGGTGACACCATGCCTTTTCCAACTACATGTGACTCTTTTGGGTTGCTCATACTTCTTTGCTGAGCATCATCATTTTGAATGCATTTTTTCTTTAATCTAATTGAAAATTTCTCCCATCATATTGCTTTCTGCTGGTGTTCCTTGCCCCTTCTATATGGCTTTCTTCTGTTAGGCTATTGTCAACTCTATTGATTTGTGTGCCCTTTCCAACTCATTAATATAATCCTCAAGGCATCATAGTCACATACCAATTAAAAAATCACCATAATTATACTTCGATGGTAAAATGATTTTTCTGCCTTGAAGGGACGATCCAACTCCTGTTAGACTGATAATTTAAGGGATTGATGTGAATGTCTGCTTGCTCATGGACTTTAAAACTAATTTGTGTTTTTTTCCTGATAATTGAAATTTGAATTACCAGAACAAGCTTTGGAAGCTCCCTTTAGGATGGAAATGGGAATCTGTAATTAATTGTTTACTTACAATTTTCTTGTCAACATTTCATTACCATTCTTATAATCTGTAGATGGGGAAGTAAATCATGGTTATACGACTTTTAACTTGTTATGTTTATTGCTGTAACTAAACCAGTGGCTATGATCTTTTGTCATCGTGACAGCAGATTTTTTTCTTTTGCTAAACAAAGCAGATAGCTTGAACACTTCTAAAGCTTTGTAAAAATGACCCTATGAAATATTTATATGTGCTAGAAAGTTTATTAAATTTGACAAGATTTAAATATTGAGAAACGATACTTGGCTTGATTATGAAGGAGAATATGATACATAGCTTGCAAAACTAATATATGGAGCATGGTATCACACTATCACCTTATTGAATGGGATACCTGTACCCATTTCTGTATCATTGATCTCAAGAAAGAGTTCTTTATTTTAATCATCAAGAGATAGAGTTGTTCCTTGTTTCCTGTATCTATGATTACATGGTATTTAGATTTGGGCATCTTGGATGGTCCCAAACAATTATGGTGTTGCTTTTTATTATCACATCGCAAGCTCATAGGGGCAGCTCATTATTCCTTAGTTTCTCATCAACTTTTCCTTTCTGAGTTATACATCTCATTTCACTAATCTTTCTAGGGCATAGCAGTATTGTCAAATAAAAACTTTCCATATATAGAAAACTTGGTTATATTTTATTATGTATAAGTTGTAGCACACATTGAGCTGTTTGGATCCAAGACTGAAATTATTATATTATCTTAATGACTCAATCAAGTATTCAATGATTTGGTACTGAGACAGGAATGGTTGTTCTTTGTTGTTGCATGATCTGGTATTTTAATTGAACCCATAATTAGTTACATCTAGCAAATGTCTGGTATATGATATGTAATTATGTCATAACAAAAGCAAATACGTAATCCATAGGCTTTCATTAGATACAAAAAATTAATCAATTCAAGTCACACTTGCAAATGTAATTTCATTTGAATGGTAGCTCAACTGTGTAGACTGGCTTATTCTTTAACAAAACTTAAGTCCTTGGCTCCTTTTATGTCTGTTCCTTTGAAAAGGTGGGCATGAGTAGTTAAACTGGTTTTTGCTGTCATCACGCTTAGGATAGAACCCCTCCATCGTTCTAGTTGGTGATCACTAGTACTTGAACAATTGCCAAACAGGGGGTCTCTTGGGATTCTTTATTTTGGGCTACCTAATTCATGTTCCTTTTGGAATTGTGATTCTGTGATCAATCTTAAAGGAAAGGTCGCATCTCGTGCCTTTCCTTGGGTTGCCTGTAACTCTTATCTGTTGGATTAATAAAACTTTTACTCATTTATCAATAAAAAACAAAAAACTTGAACAATTGCTTAGCAATGAAGAAAAAAAAAGAAAAGAGAAAAAAACCTAGTGGTGGTATTATCTTGTAATTTTCATGATCTTGTTATTACTATGATATAGCTTCCCTAATGGGTAATGGTATTATTCTTTTTTGGCTGAGTTCTTCAACCATTTTGGCCTTATGAGTAGCAATATTGATACGTTTCTCTTGGAGGTATAGAAATAGGATTAGCTGAATGCAATAGACCGTTCAGCAGGCTGTGGAACCAATGATAATGCTCCACACCAGCCATAAAATACATGGGGCAGCTGCTATCCTCTCAACCTTTAAACCAGTTGGAAGAAGACTCTTGGAGCTGGAACTGGACTACGGGTGGCTTATTTTCTATCAACTCCTTTGCTAGGAACCTAGTAACTGGAGGCAGAGTTGATATTCCAGCAAAAAGAATCCGGTTCCTCCTTCAAAAGTTAATGCTTTGATGTGGGCTGTGGTGCTAGACAGAAGTCTCTCTAAAAAGAACCTGGCCAGGAGAGGAGTCCAAACTACAAGATTTGCAGCGTGTGTTGTGTGGCCATGAAGAAGAGGACAACAATCATCTTTTTCTGCCTTGCCCTTTGTCTGCAGAAGTTAGGAACCATTATCTCTTCTCGGTGGGTGTAGCCTGGGTCATGCCTAGTTGCCTATGTCTGTGAAGGATCTGCTTTGGTGCGGGGTGCTCTGAGGTTTATCAAAGTTGGCTAAATGTGTGTGGAAGACAGTTCCTGCAGCAGTTATTTATACTATTTGGTTGGAGAGAAAGAATCTTCCAAAACTGTTCCAGGGATGTAAACTGCCTAATCTCTACCTCCTTTGGCAAACTGGTCTCTTGGACTGCCACAGCTAAGGGTCTGCAGGTCAGGGTGCCGGGCACCCAGTTGAGGTCTACTAGTCTGTTTGATCTGTAAATGTAGGGCTTTTAGGCCTGATCTGTAGCCCTTTCAGTCAGGCCCTTTGTATTTTATGTGCTATTTAATAAAATTACCTTACCTTTTTCAAAAAAAGGGGGGACCCACAACCATTCAAACTTTAACTGTGGGCCCCTTATATTTTATCACTGGTGTGGGGCATTATCATTGGTTCCACAGCCCGCTACACAGCTAATGTTTTGAGCTAATCTGAATTAGGAGGTATAGGCATGCTTGTTGGGAATATAGTCACGGTCTAAGATTCATTGAGCTGATGTTGTATTATTTGTAGCATCCTAATTTTGTTGCTAAGTTGATTTCTATGGTTAGAATCACCTCATGGATCATGATTAACATTTGATATGTGTATTCTGGTAATGTTAGAACAAAATGGTCTTTAGCAATTGGATCTTGTATCAGAATTGATAAACTCTTCCAAGTCCAAGTGCTATTTAGTGTGAAACAATCTGGAGGCCTATGTATACATTTTCCTGTACTAGAAGGTCTAGGCATCTAATGTATTTTCACATTGATTTCACTTAAGACCATTCATATTAATGAGATAAAAATATCTTAGAATTAGGCTCATATCATGTTATAGTCTTATGTACTTGTAAGAAGCTTTGGTTCCATGATATCATATTCTTTTGTTTGTTCCAGTCCTTTCTTTATTTCTGTTCATTTTTGTTAGTCCTTTGTTTCTGGTCATGATTGTGTAAATTTTTTAGGCTTCTCCTGTCATAATTGGAGGCCGTCAAGCTTTTGTTGAGGAGAAGAGAACTACATCTCGAGGTAAGTTAAAATGTCTTAACAGATTCTGAATTTTCTGTCATGTTATTTTATAGTAATTTAAAAGGGGAGTGATTTGGGGATTATTAAAAAAAGGGAGTGATTTGGGCATATCCCATGTTCGATGAACTTGGCACATCCTAGTTAAAAAACAAAGAAACACGTGTTGGTTATGAAAAATTAAACATGGGGGGGGGGTCTTTGTCTTTTAATGCATACACTTTTGATTAATTAATTAGGATGTGCTCCTTTTGTCAAAAATGGAAATTGGGTTTGCCCAAATCAATCCAAGGTCTTGGGAGATGGTAGACTGGATATAGACCCAACTGTTGGCCTTTTTTGATACCAAGTGGCCAATCTGACTTGAACCCACTCTCTCTCTCACTTGTCAGACTGTGATTGTACTACTATTTTTCCGAGTAATGGTTCCTCTGAGCGTCTGACAACTGTTTATTGTGATACTTGGCCTCAGCAGAATCCTTGTCTTTGAGACTCACTATATTGCTGGGTTCTTGCAGTTACAAGTGGCAGCGGAAGTGGAAGTGGAAGGGGAAGTCGGTTCCCATCTGGAAGGGGTGGATATAGAAATGACAATTTCAGGGGTCGTGGGAACTACAGTGGTGGCCGGGGCTATGGCAGAAATGAATTTGGAAACCGAGGTGAATTTTCAGGCAGAGGGAGGGGTCCATCTGGACGTAGTGGAGATGGTTATCAGAGAGTGGATCAGAATGGGAATGGAAGAGTTGGCCGTCAAGCTGGAGTAAACCAGACAGCTGTTTCTGCATGAAATTGTGTCTTTTGAGTTGGGAGAACAGATTAATTTTTCACGGAAAGGAGATGGGAGTATTCTGAGTTCTCAGTACATACCGTGAAAGTTTGTGATTAACAAATTCAAGTTTGGATGAGTTGATTCTTTTGACTCTAGATGAAGTTAACCTTTGAGATGAGAAGGTATCTCGATGTAATGTCTTTTAAAATTTTGTGTCAATCTTGTCTCGGCAGCAGGAAACGGAAACCTATGCTAAGCTAACTTGTGCAATACTCGAAAATTTGCATCTTTTAAAAGATCCTTGCCAATGGTGCTATCATTGTTGGATAGTGCTAAAGTTTCTTGTGTAAACCCTGTTGTTCCAATAAATATGATAGCTTAAATTTTCGGAATTCGAGTGGGTCTCGATTTACGCAGGAATATGTTTGGGAACTAAGCTGTTTCTTTCTAGGGGTTGACGGTACTTCAAGAACCTTTTCTGTGGCTACTGTTAACAGCTTAATAGATGCGACGGAATGGTTGGGTTATTTTGTCCATAAAATTCTCTTCAGGAGAGTAAAACCGTAGGTCTGTCAGATGTTTATTATAAGAATAAGACGACCCTCGTACCTACTAGTGTTTGGAAATATTTTCTTAACGTTATATAATGTTTGGCAAGTTTTTCTATGTATATCTTTCAACAGCCCAGTAGACCAAAAGATGTATTGAACCTTTGGAGTTAACGACTGTTTGGTAAGTATCTTAGTCCATCCAACTGTTAAAAATGGATTAGAAGGCTATTTGAAGCACAGAAGGGCCAAAGTTTATCGATTTGGGGCTGTTTGATTCTTTCTGGGTGCTTATCTTTTGAGTTTTCGTGGTTATTGCTGAAGTGTCCTGTTGATGGCAATTATTTGATTTCCAAGTTTCTATTTGAAACCATTTGGAGTTTAATGCTCCTAGCTATTAGTATAATTTTTAAACAGTTTAACCTAGGTCGGACTTGAATCTATAAAGCTACAACTTTGAGGCCAACAGCACATAATTCTAACCAATTATTCTGATAGAATTTACTTATTTCAGAATTTTGATTTGCATGTAAAGTATTTCTTTGGATTTTTTTCATTATAATAAAAGAAGAAATCTTTTTTTTTTTTAGTTTGTCGAGGGCCTCGAGGAAAATAATTTCCCCATTCCGAAAATTTGAATACAACGTTCTTTGCAATTGAAACATGAAGAGTGGAAAATGCTTAAAGGCTATCTTGTACTATTACTATAATGTCAATGAGGCGTTGTATGAGTCATGACTATTGCGATAGTTTCTTCTTTCTTTACAATTTTCTTCTAACAGATGATCAACTCAACTCAAAGCCTTATCCCAACCAAACATGAATTCTGTTCCACCATTTAGTTTTATCAATGGCCATTTTCCAACACTACAATCTCATTTAATAATAGGGTGTTGGTGTTTGCTAAGCTCCTGCCATAAAATGATTTTTAGCCATTTTCATTGTAGCATTTTTCGTTTCATTGAGAATATATACCCACCATCCAAAATAGAAACTATGAAACCATCGAGTTGTTTCATTTCTAATCGAAAGATAAGGATTCCATTTTTTATGGGGGCATTAACATTATGGGTTCAAATGCTAATGAAAACCAAGAAGAAATCGTTTCATTTCAGTTGGCAGCAGAGATTATACAACCAATGGCATTGTTGGGGAGCACACTATACCAATACACAATTCCAATTAGTATCGTTCAGTACATATTCAGAAGAAGGAGAAAAAAAAATCAATCTGATTTCTGCAAGTTGGATACCAAATTTGAAGCCACAAGAGCTGCAGATCCACCAGCTACACAAACCAGAGCAACTGCAACTTGTAACACCACCTCCCATGGGTACTCTTCAGGCACAAGGTATACAAAGACAGGACCCAATACCAGCAATCCTAGGCTCAGACTCAAGAGAGCCCCTGGGGTCCCTGGATCTGTTGCTGCTGAGAGGACTCCTAGTTCCTCAGCTTTTGAGAGGAGACCCAGTTTCTCTATGGTTGACAAAGAAAGCCCAAACTTTTCTGCAGCTGATAGTAGGCCGGCTTTCTCTGCCTTGCTTAGAAGACGAAGCTGTTCCACCCTTGTTAGTAGCTTTATAGGGGGTCCAGTTGTAGCCGAGCTAGTCCGTGGGCCTGGCTCACCAAAGGGAAACACTGTTGATCCCTGCGTTTCAATGGGTTGTTCTTTTCAGTTTTTGTTTGAAATGCATATAGCATGCAATAACATATGGATAGGATAAAAATGTGAGGTGATAAAGAACTGGCATATCTTGGAATTTCCAGACCAATTGGGTATTAATAAATGCAAATTCTATCTCAATAAAAACAAGTTCGTCTGCATATGATACATTGTAAATCTCTGATACATGGATATAGTATTGCATCTGAAGTCTGATTAAACTGTCATGTTGGAGTTATTGATCAGAGTGGCCATTGCAGTTTCTTCTATTAAAACATGGGCATGAGGGTTGTTCTTATCATTCTAAAAGTTTTGAAATGTTAAAAGAGTAAGCCTGTAAGAGGAGGAAATATATACCACTAATATAGTTGTAAATGGTAACCCCATTACTTGTTATAAATGAGCCTTTCTACACACTGAACAGGGGATAACCACTTACATCGATCATTAGTTTCAGACAAACATGGCAATGTTTCATATTTCCATGCAAATATCAGATGGAAGAAAATTTTGTTGAACTTCACAATTAGAGCTATGATCCGAAATACACTCCCTAAACCCATTGAGGTTCATGTGCAACAAGAATCCATGTCTTAGAGCTGGGTTGCCTGTGTTGAGTTCCTCCAGTGACCACAATAATGCCATATAACTCAGCCTTATTGAAATGGGAATTTAGTTATTCATTTGAAATGGGGAGAATAAATTGAATTAATTCAAAATGCAGAAAATGGGGGAAGCATAAAGCATGGGATCGGATCTTAACCAGTGAACAAGTGTCCTTTCTCTCTATAAACCAAAATTGAGAAATAAGAAGATAATTCTGCAGCCTAAACTTTAAATGTTTATATACAGGGAAATTCAAAGAATCACAGGTGAGGGTGCTCATTGCTTAATACCACCATTCGATGGAAAGGTACAAACTATGACTAAAACTCAAGGAGGAAAACCAAAAGAAAACTGAAAAGCAAGCTAAATCGCAACGCCATGAGTGGACTCACAACTTGATGAAGGAAATTAAGGAAATGGGATCAACATCAAAGAACCAGTTTCCGTTTTTGTAAATTTAGAAATGAACTTTCTGGGTTGAGCTAACCTTTCTAGTGCCAACAGTTCGAGTGGCTGAAGAGGGCTTCTGGGTAGCCATGGATTGAATGCGAAGAGGTAAGAAAGTTGCAGTTGCAGAGTGGTCTGGGCTCGATTTGATTCTTTTGGGTGGAGATGAGATGAGCGAGATCCCTCTGCCTCTGCTACAAACTCCCATCGCTTCCATCTCCTCCTCGTCAAATTCGGTTTGCTTCCACGAGGCTTAAAAGGCATTCATTTTGAGTGGTGGACGAACATGTTCACAGATTTGGTACACGTGTCGACCGAAGGTTGGCTTCCAGCAGTAAAACAACTGATGAGTGATGACAATGCAGTTGCAGTATTACTGCTAGCGGAGTGGTAGCGCTACGAACCGTGGCCTTCACAGACCTCTTAGGCACAAACGAATTATGCTAGAATCACGGACGTTCGCATTGGTCAAAGAAGGACAAGATGGGCCGCACCTCTTGGGTCAAAAACTCCAAATTCACTTCGTGGGCCTTGTAGGATTTCATTATTGGGCGAGAGCAAGGTTCTGTTGGATGTGGGCTCTGTAGGTTTGCCGTTTGCGAAACTACACTGGAGCTCCTAATTGTCCTATTCGTATCGTGGGCCGTGATCCTTTATTCAGGTAATAACATTCTTCAAACATCTACTCGAATTGTCGTTGTAGTATAGTGGTGAGAATTTCCGCCTAGACCGGGTCGGGCCAGGCTTTTACTCTTCATAAATAGAAATTTGTTAGGCCCGAGCTCAAGTCCGGCCTTGATAAAAAGCCCGAAGCCCAATGGTGATTGTGTTCGTCGGAGCTGAGTTCGTGGTGACTGTGAGCTGCAATTTTAATAGTGAAAAGTGTGTCAGTTCGCGTCAGAGAGAGAGAGAGAGAGCTCACCGCCGCCGCCGGTGCCTATATTCGCCGCTTCGCTGGTGTTTGAGATTTGAAAGAGAAGTGAGAAGAAAAACGAGAGAGAGAGAAAGAGAGAGAGAGAGAGAGAGAGAGGACTCACCGCCGGAGTTGTTGTGCCGGTGAATGTTCGCCGCCTTGCTGGTTGTGTGGCTGCCTGAGAGTGTGAGGACTGAGAAGGATGTGAAGACTGAAGAGAAGAGAGGTTTGGCTAAGGGGAAAGAGGTGAAAGAGAAGAGAGGTTCGGCTTAGGGAGTTAGGGTTGTTTAAGTTTAGTCTATAGGTCGGGCTCAGGCCGGGCTATTTTGGCAAATCCCGAGCTCGGCTCGAATTTATTGTGGGCCGGTCTTTTTGGCCCGGGGTTAAGCCCGCGGGCTCATTTGCGTGTTCAAGCCTGTCCGAGGGCCGAACAGGTCTATTCCCACCTGTCACGCGGGCGAACCGGCCCGTCGGGCCACCCACCCGTACTATGGCTTTTTATCTTTTAAAAGCACAAACCCCCTCAAAAGCACGAAGTTGACTTTTATTACTTCGTGCTTTTGATGTTGTTTTCAAGTCCTAACCTCTTTGTTGTTGTAAGTATTATCATTGGAAATCATTGCTGGAAACAAGATCCTTATTGGAATTGCATGTGTGGATCCCGGTTTTATATTTTCCCCCTTTCTTTTAATGATTTTCTCCATTTCATGCAATATTTTCAAGCTTAATGGTATGTTTGTTACATGTTTACTGTCACTGGCTGTTGTCTATTTTTTTGTTTCCTAAACTATTCTTGAAGCTTATGGAATGTTTTTATATATTGTTTACTATAATGTTATATAGCATGATACCTGTATAAAACCACTTTGTTTCCTAAACCAAATGTCGATTCTAAGTGGTTGCCACATATAATGTGTACACGTGGCATGTGTGTATCTTCAGTGTATGAAGGTGGCTAATCATGGGTAATGTGGTATTTGTCACGTATAAGATTAGATGAATCATATGATTGATAGGGTACATGTTTTTGCCAAACAAAAAATGATATTTTTGTTTTGGAAAGCATGCTTTTCAATTTTTTTTTATCCAAATAGTTTTAAAAGCAAAAATACTAAAGTAAAAGTTGTATTTATACTTTATACTTTCGTACTATTAAAGTAGAAGTATGCTTAAACGTAGCCTAAACATTCATAATATTTTTTTATAAAGGTTCAACTATGATATGAAAAAGATATGATATCTGAAAAACAACTGACAAATAAATTGGAATCATAAACATGGTAGAGAATAAGGTGTTATTTATCAAAATTCATGGGTGGGTTTTGATTCGTCAAAACTCTTTCCATATCATCATAGATTTTCCCTTTTTATAAAGATGCAAAAGGAGAGATTTTCAATGGGTTGTCGTTGTAGTATAGTGGTAAGTATATCAAAAATAGAGAAAATCTCTTTTGGGGTGGGTGGGTTATCAAATGTCTTCTATTAACGAATGCAGAATATATTTCATTCCGTTGTTGTAGTATAGTGGTGAGTATTCTCGCCTGTCACGCGGGTGACCCGGGTTCGGTCCCCGGCAACGGCGCTTTCACCTTTTGGTACTAAAGGTAAAAATCTCATAATTTTACAAAGATATTTCCACCATCACCGATTATATTATGGAACGTAAACCATGTTTCATGTTGTCGTTGTAGTATAGTGGCGAGTATTTCCGCTTCTCACGCGAGCGGACCAAATTCGATCCCCGGCAACAGCGCCTTTCTTTTGCCGTAATAAGAAAAAAAAGCACTCTGAAATCATACAGATCGCCAAGAATTCGCTCCTTCAATGTAGAGACGCAAGCGTCCTTTCGAGCACTCTAACGATCGACACGTAACTAGTCTTGTATTAAAACGTGATTTTGTTTGTCAGGCTATTTGATTACGTGTCTGTCAATGAAATGCTCAGAATTACATTTTCGTCCTTCGTGGTTTTAGCGAAGACCAAATCGTAGATCCATGAAAAAACCCGCCAAAACCCAAAACCCTACGGAGCCATAGACACTAAGAAAGTCACACAGCACTGACCCACAGCCTGATTCTCTTCAAATGGTAGACTCTGTTCTGTCTATGGAGAAACCGAACGGATTCTGGAATTCGCAAGTTCAGACCGAAGAGAAATCGACATTGAATTTGGTACCCTTCGCGCCTTTTTTTGTTCATCTGTTTAGTAGATGATTTATTTACCTGTTCGATCTTAACGCATTCCCGTCTTAACTTTCGTTGTTAGCCTTGGAACTGTATCTCTATAAAATTGGAAGATAAGGGCAAATGCAGTTGAATTGTATGTTTTGATTAACCATAATATTTTGTTTTATTATTCTTCTTTTTTTAACCTGGAATTTTCATGTAGTTTTCTGGACCTCGATTTAATTCGCTCTCTGAGTACTGTTTTAACGCTTACTTTTTTCATTTACTTGTGTGGTGGGAATATCATTGTATTCATCTATAGAGTTAAAGTACTGTAAGAGTCATATTAGAGAATTTGAAGATCTAGATTCGTCACTTTTCTTGAAACCAAGTTTAAGGGGTCGAAACTTGTCTGTTTCACTTATATTGGTGTCATTGGGTTTTTCGGTTACTTACGTAACGAGTCAGTTCTTGTCAATCTGATACGTTTTGGTAAAGCTATGGCTGTTTTAGAGTATAAGTTTGTGATGCGATTTAAAACTTTATATTTTCTGGTTAATCTTAGGAATTTTTCTAGTTACTAAGTTCTAATAGGATTACTAGTGGATATTTGGAAGTAATAAGAATTTTAAGTCCACATTTGAGTGTCCTTATCAGTCATGTGTGGTTTTACTTAGTACAATTAGAAGTCATTTCTGGTATTAATTCTTCATTAATCTGGATGAACTCTCGAGTCTTTTTTGCCTTCTTTCTATCTTCTGGAAATTTCTTCATTTTCTTCCATATCTCCTCATTCCTATACTAGTACAATCTATCCTAAAGGAGCATAGGAGGAAAGAGTGATTCCTTCATCCCCAAGTGAAAGCCCATCCCTGAAGACCCTAACTATCATCTGAAATTCACCTTAACATCGTGACATTGCAACATCCATTAGTTTGCGGTCCTTTAACAATCCTAGCAACATCCCCTGAATCACCCCTAGACCTCACAATTCTAGTTTTATGCGCTATTATGGGCAGTCTGATTAAAGACACTGATATAGAGTAGTATATGACTTATTTCATTTTAACTTTGGCTTTCTTCCTTTTCTTTTAAAGTTTTGTGTCATTTAAGAGCTTGGCTCTTCCATGACCTTGCACCATGAGAAGGGAACTGTTTTAATGCAAATTGATGATTATCAAAAAGGAAAAAATAGGTAAAATTCACCTATTTCACCTAAACCTGGATTCAGTTGGTGAAGAAAGATGTATTAATTCATTTATGGGAAAATTCCTGATCAGTACCCTGTACTTTGGCTCGAGTGACAATTTGGTCCCTGAACTTTAAAATGTGACAATTCAGTACCCAAATTTTCAAAATGTAACAATCCAGTATCCAAACTTTCAAAATGTGACAATCCGGTACCTGCTGTTAACCAGTCCGTTAATCAGCTGTTAAGTGACATTTGAAAAGTAAAAAATGCTCTAAGAATGCCATCTAATTCTCTTTATCAACCATCCAAACATTGACAATAAAATGAACGACCCCAAATTCTAGATTCTTCTAAACAGTCACCAACTTTTTTTGAATAGAAGAGGCTAGGATTTGGGACTGTTCAGTTTTTTGTCAATGTTTGGATAGTTGATAAAGAGAATTAGATGGCATTCGAAGGGCATTTTTGACTTTTCAAATGCCACTTAACGGCTGGTTAATGAATTGGTTAATGGCAGGTACTGGATTGTCACATTTTGAAAGTTCGGGTACTGGATTGTCGCATTTTAAAGTTCAGAGACGAAATTGTCACTTGAGCCAAAGTACAGGGTACTGATTGGGAATTTTCCCTTCATTTATTTAACAGAACTTATAGCAGAAAGGTTTATGAGATTCAAGCTGCTGATGGTGAAAGGTTGGTTAGATATATAACTTAGTAGGTGCAATTGTTTTAGTATCTATAACAGCCTACCATATCAATAGTTTCTTGTTTTGACAGATTTTCAGGAAAGGGAGGCCCTAAGGACTCTAGGCTTCATGTTTTGCCCGTATATATTCCAGTGGTGTTTAACATTTGGTTTAAAATCTAGATTTCAAAGCCAGGTAAAGCAGGACTTGTGACAGAGTAATTGGAAGCAAGGTTTAAAATATTGATATTCACAACACACACTTTTTGCATATTGTGA